AGGATGCCTGTCTGAAACTCATCGAATTTGCGGTACTGGGAGGCAGACACGATCTCGGGGGCCAGGCGGGCTTGGCTCTTCTTCTGCTGCAGGTTGGTGGTGCCACCTGGCTTCTGCTTAGCCTTCAGGAAGTTGCTGATGATGAGCCGGGGCAAGTGCTTCTCCCCTGGAACTCCCTGACAGGTGGGGGCAGTTGGGAGGCTGGCGGGGACATTACCTGGAGTGGTGGAGGAGCAAGTGGAAGGAGTAGCAGCAGAGGCAGTAGCAGCGGTGACAGGAGGGGCAGTGGAGGTGGGAGCAGAGGAAAGCTGGCTCGGGGCGGCAGGAGGCTTGCTGGGCATGGCTGGCTGGGAGGCCTGAGGGTTGCAATGCACCAGCAGAAGGTTCTCCAAGCACAGGTCCCGGTGAATGATCCCGTGCTCCTTGAGATGCTCCAGCCCATTACAGAGCTGCAGCAGCAGGAAGCACACGCGCCGCTCATAAACCTCGGGCTCCGTCTGATGGCTGCTGGCTCAGTGTTCTTATGAAGCTATAAATCTGAATGGGAGAAGACTGCCTATTTTTTTTATTTTTTAAGACTGTCTCTATTTTTCTCCAACAGAGTTGCTGGTAGAGTCAAACAACCAGACACTTAGCCTTTTGGATTTTGTTGTTGTTGTTGTTGGGTTGTTTGTTTTTTGTTAATATGGTGAGAAGATTTGTATTTAGAATTATCCATCTGGACTTAGTTTAGATGATCCCAATTTTATTGGCAACATCCAAAGCATCATAATCAGGAGCAATTCGAACACAGGCCTTCTTCTCTCCATTAGGTCTAGTTTAGGAGCTGATTTTGGCCATATCAATGTCATAGAGCTTCTTTACAGCATGCTTGATTTGGTCCTTATTTGCCTTGACATCCACAATGAACACAAGTGTGTTATCTTCTTAATGGCTGACTTAATGGTCAGGGGAAACTTGATGATGACATAGCAGTCAAGCTTGTTTCTCCTGGGGGCATTCTTCCAGGGGGTACTCTTCCAGTGGTATTTGGGCTGCCTTTGGAGTCTCTCTTAGGCCACTAGAAGGTGTAATTTTTTTTTAATGTGATCTATTTTTTTTTAAAAATGATTTTTTTTTGTTGTTGCTGTGATAGCCTTTAGGACTGCCTCCTTGGCCTTTAACACCTTTGCTTTGGCTTCAGTTTTGGGGGAGGCAGTGGCTTCTTTCTTCATTTCTAGTGTCATCTTTGTAGAAAGATGATCTTTTGGTTAGCAGTATAGTCCACTATATATTATATCACCAGAGCTCCTCAAAACATACTTTAGGGATTTTAAT